ACAGGCTGCCACATATGGGAGGAGTTTATCAAGATGTCAATGTCTGTGTGCTGGAGCAACATTAAGGAATGTTAGTGGCGAAATGAACAACAAATTTGGATTAAAAATTAATTTCAATATACTGATGATCATATAAACTACAAAAATGACAAAGTTGTCCTGGCAGCCAAATAAACTGAAAATACTGAATACTGTATGAAGGGAGGTCTTTGGGCATGTCAAGGCATTATATAATGAAATCATGTTGAAAATGGCCAAATAAGCCTTCATTCGTCTGTCTCTCATTCGGAGCTGTGATGTCTGTCAATTACAGCTCGATTTCTCATTCACTCTGTAGGTTGTAGCAATGAATAGGAATGAATCTGGGCTCAATGGAGGGTGGAAGATCCAGTGATGTCACCATATATAAATCCAAGCCTCACAGGAGAGACTGAGCGCTCAGACGAAGCAGTGTCTGTACAGAGATTCATCTACAGTTAGGAAGTGACTCCTGATCGGTACTCATGGGGGTCAAAACTATCTTGTTTTCCACTATACTTCTGCATGCATGCACTGCCACCTTTAACGGTAAGTTCATCAATGCAGTTGTGCATGAAAAGTTTGACTTTTAATTCTAGTATTTCAATGGTGTTTAACTATGCATATGAGTGGCTCAAACCTTGATTATATCAAATTATGTGTGTAAGGAAGCTTGGATTACTGGTGTAAATTGTGTGATAGCTCAAAGAAAGATACTTGCCTTTAATCTAAATTGCTTCTTGCTGCAAAAAAAGTAGTGGCTACCACAGTACTCACTCCTTTTCCTACACTATGGTATTTTCATGGTACCCTAATTACCATATTAACTTTAAATACCATATTACCATGGTACAAACAACATAGTAATTGATTTTATCATTTGATTTTGATTTGTTTTATTCCAGCTTCATTTCAGTATCAAAATAATTTTAATAGTTTTAATGCTAGTTTTAGTTAACAATCACAGCACTACACTATGCTGTATATAATATAGATGGCTGACAGAAATCATTTAATCATTTAATAGATAGTTTATTCATTTTAATTTATTCATATTAAGAAAGTCACAGCTGTGTGTGGGTTGTTAGTATATGAAATCTGTTTATCATTGATGGATTTTGTTTGCAGTGAAGGAAGTATATTTCACAATAAAGCACTTTATTGTTAGTTGTTTCCTATCAGTGGTGTAGGCTTCATTTGAACATTTCCATTTGCTGTAGATCATATTTCACATTGCATCCCTTATGAGCACCATTTTATCTAATGACACTTGTAATAAAATGGGCATGACTGAATATCACAATCTCATGGCAAATTGGCAATAACACTGACAGTTATGTTTAGGGGTGCACGCTAACTTTTTTGTAATAATTGTATGTTTTTGTATTTTGATTACTATATTGTATAAATTCATTCAAAATTACCTCTCATAAATAGTTAAATTTTCAGGTTGGTAATATTCAGGGTGCAGTGACTTAATCACCAAACTTCACCATTGCCTGAGTCATTCAACACATGTAGCTGTTTATGTGTTAAAAAATGATCGTGTCTGGTAGTAGTATGATAACTTTACTCATGGTGTTTTATCTTGTTTACAGTTCTTGACTGCCTTTCACCTCCTCCAGGTGGGGTTTTAGGCTATAATCAGACATCTCAAGCATTGAATAATAGCAGAACTGCAGATGCAGCGGCATACTGTATAATCACACAGCTGCACCAACCCCTGACACATATGCATCCTAGATGAGTCTACTGACTTCCTCAAAGGCTTGATGGCCACACGTGTCATGCCCTCATTCTACATCTACATCATCCTCATTAGTTTGCCCCTAAATGCTTTGGCCTTAGTGACGTTCACCTGTACCAGTGTTTTCTTTTAGCTGTTGGATTCAACAGCGGGGAGGGAGATTCATCATATGCAGCTTACCTGTTGGCTGTGTGTTTGGGGAGCTCAAGTATTTTTCTGGATCCTCTGCTCTACTACTACGGCTCGTCTCAATGCAGACATCTGATCCACTCTGTGTTGAGGAAAGCTAAAGGCAGAAAAACTAAAATCACCAACTAACACAGACAAAATCCACATCTCTCACTTAAACCCGGCTTGCAGTAAAGTGTGAAAAAATAATCAGATATGGCGTTTCCATTATTGGCTTTTTCAATATATTACATTACACATGTATTATTCTAAATTTACATCTTGCATCAATTGTTAAAATGCTACTGCTTGTAGAGTTTATCAGATCAAAAGCATAAGGGACATGTAACAGTTGTCAAGTCATAGATGTCTTTTGCAATATTTAGATAATGCTTTATTTCTCCATTTGTTAAAGTCACGTCACATATTTTTCACACTCTCTTTGCCTCAATTCAGCATGGTTTTTGATAAGGTACTGTTAAGACTTCTATATGTAAATGTGTGGAGTCTGTGATTGTAGTTCACAATGTAATTCACATTATTTAGTAATGTTGCTGAATACTGGAAAAGATATCATGTCAATGATATGTAAAATGAGGGAAGGCCAGATGATTTTCAAAGAAATGAGTCTTGAAATAGAGTCCATGTAAAGATTTCTTGATGCACAGAAGCTGTGATAAATGAATTCTGTTGGTTTACTTTGTTCACTATGGATAAATTCTGACTGTTCTTTTTAAGGAACTATTAGATAACTTTAATAAACTGTTATTTAACACAAAAGTAAACCTAGCTAGTTAGTTCTAGCTAGTTGTAACTGATGATCTATTTAATTTTGATGTTGATTTAATGTTTATTGCTTGTGTTCATCAAAATCACACAAATTCATATTTGAAACTGCATTTAAACAGGAATGGTGAACATTCTAGACCTCCTGAGAGTGGTACTCAACTTTTTCTGAAACACCTCCTTTCACTGAAGAGTTGAAAATTGTCTGTATCATATCCTGGCATAACCACACAGAAGAGACTGGGCACAAGAGTGATAGACGCAGCACGGGTGTTTGTCCATCTAGAGATTCTGACGTTTGATGACTTTAAAGTCTAGAGTTAGATTTGATCAGTGCTCATGGGGGTCAAAACTCTCTTGCTTTCTATTATATTTGTGCATACATGTGGTAAGTGCATCAGTAATTAAAATGTATATGACTTTCATGGCTTGCTAATTTGCTTGAATTCATATTATATATTACTTTTTTAATGTTTAACTCAATACAGCACCATTAAACTTGGGGTGAAACAGATTAATTAATTTTTACATTTATGCAGGCAGATAAAAAATGCTGCATTTACTCAGTTACAATAGACAGGTTGCTAACAGTACTATTTACAGTAGATGGCCCTGTGTTTTGACTGGATTTATTAAGATAAACATGTTCTTCAAGGCTTCTTAGCAAATGTGTCACAGTTACTTTTATTTGTCTGGTAATGCCATCAAAACCTAAAGTTTTGTTTGTTTGGTTACAGATGGCTCTGAACGCAATTTCACTGTTACGACAGAGACCTATGACACAACAGAAAATGATTCCTTTTTGGATGGAGTGTTGTATGGAGTTTATTCTGGAAACTATTCTGAAACCTTATCCATAAACTATTCCATACCAGAGCCTCCAGGTAAAGTTTACAGACCTCCAGAAAAAGTTTACAACATCATGTGTTGTGAGATCATTATTACAGTTCATAATCAAATATTCCAAAACGGAAGAGCACATATGCAGATTGTACATAAGTGACTGGCCAGTGTTTGGGTGTTTAGAGGATTTTGGTTTTCTGTTTTAAACGTTATAACGAATCACAGGTGAAGCAAACAACTCTAGAAGTCACACAGAAAACATAGGTTCTGACAGAATGCTACCAGTATTTTTACTGTAAACAAAATATTTGTTGTAGTATGAATTGTCTAGTTCAACGGCATCATCTTAAGGACCTTCACATGTACTGCGCTTAAACCCGGGTTCCCTTTGAGGAACTCGAGCTGCGTTGAACGCTTTGGGAACACCTTCAGTGTGACCACGCTCTGAATCACGTGTGTAATCAGTCCAATAGATGGGCGAGACGTCACGGACGGGGTGACGTAGCGACCAGGAAGCTATAAAAGCACGTGCGGTGGAAACAGATGCAGCTTCTGTCATTCGGCTAGTTCGGTCATTATCTGCTGGTCCGCCATTTTTGGGCACCGAACGGGCCACTCCTATTACACCGGAGGTCAGTCTCGAGAGACTGATTACCTTAGTAGATTTTCTGGCAGTGTGGAAACTTCTGCCGAATATCTCACGTTGGGTCCTGCAGAATGTAGGAAGAGGTTACAGAATTCAATTCGGTTCTCCACCGCCTCGTTCCCACCCTGGTGGGTCCAGAGCAGGCTCTGGTATTACAAAGTAAATACTCTCTTGAGGAAGGAGGCCATCGAGGTGGGCCCTCCTCTCGACAGAGAGTCCTGGTTCTACAGCCGGTACTTTATTGTTCCAAAGAAGGATGCAGGGTTGCGTCCCATTTTAGATCTGCATCCGTTGAACTGCCCAGTCATGCGACTGAAGTTCAGAATGCTCACACTCAAGCAAGTGGTGTCTCAGATCAAGTCTGAGGACTGGTTTGTCTCAATTGATCTAAAAGTTGCATAATTCCATGTCTCCATCCTTCCTCAACACAGGAAGTTCCTGCGGTTTGCTTTCAGGGGTGAAGCTTACCAATATCAGGTTCTTCCGTTCGGCCTTGCACTCTCACCCCAAACTTTCACGAAGTGTGTAGATGCTGCTCTGGCTCAACTGTGACTCCAGGCCATCTGCATACTCAACTATGTCGACGATTGGTTGATTCTAGCTCAATCGGAGCAGATAGTGGTTCGGCATCGAGATGTCATTCTCACCCATAGTCTCTTGAGGAAGGAGGCCATCGAGGTGGGCCCTCCTCTCGACAGAGAGTCCTGGTTCTACAGCCGGTACTTTATTGTTCCAAAGAAGGATGCAGGGTTGCGTCCCATTTTAGATCTGCATCCGTTGAACTGCCCAGTCATGCGACTGAAGTTCAGAATGCTCACACTCAAGCAAGTGGTGTCTCAGATCAAGTCCGAGGACTGGTTTGTCTCAATTGATCTAAAAGTTGCATAATTCCATGTCTCCATCCTTCCTCAACACAGGAAGTTCCTGCGGTTTGCTTTCAGGCGTGAAGCTTACCAATATCAGGTTCTTCCGTTCGGCCTTGCACTCTCACCCCAAACTTTCACGAAGTGTGTAGATGCTGCTCTGGCTCAACTGTGACTCCAGGCCATCTGCATACTCAACTATGTCGACGATTGGTTGATTCTAGCTCAATCGGAGCAGATAGTGGTTCGGCATCGAGATGTCATTCTCACCCATATGAAAGAGGAAGTTCAGAATGCTCACACTCAAGCAAGTGGTGTCTCAGATCAAGTCTGAGGACTGGTTTGTCTCAATTGATCTAAAAGTTGCATAATTCCATGTCTCCATCCTTCCTCAACACAGGAAGTTCCTGCGGTTTGCTTTCAGGGGTGAAGCTTACCAATATCAGGTTCTTCCGTTCGGCCTTGCACTCTCACCCCAAACTTTCACGAAGTGTGTAGATGCTGCTCTGGCTCAACTGTGACTCCAGGCCATCTGCATACTCAACTATGTCGACGATTGGTTGATTCTAGCTCAATCGGAGCAGATAGTGGTTCGGCATCGAGATGTCATTCTCACCCATATGAAAGAGTTGGGGTTAAGACTAAACGCCAAGAAAAGTGTGCTTTCTCCATCACAGAGGACCACTTATCTGGGCATTGTGTGGAATTCGACCACGATGCAGGCACAGATCAAGTCGATCCTCACTGCAGTCGCGAGAGTCAGAGAAGGCCGGTCACTCACTTTTGGCCTGCTGAACATGAGACCCCTACAGTAGTGGCTCAAGACCAAAGGGTTTACCCCGAGGGGAAATCCGCTTCACATGATCAAGGTCACGCGGCGATGCTTTCGTGCCTTAGACATGTGGAGGAAACCTTGGTTCTTGTCACAGGGCCCGGTGCTGGGAGCTCCTTGTCATCGTGTAACGTTAATGATGGACGCGTTCCTAACCGGTTGGGTTGCAGTCATGAGTGGCCACCCTGAGAGGCCATCATGTGTTGGTGTGCACCGAGAACACAGTGGTGATCTCTTACATCAACCACCAGGGAGGTCTGCGTTCGCGCCCCCTGTACAGGCTGGAAGGGAAACTCCTCTCGCTGAGAGCAGTGCACATCCCTGGGCATCTCAATCAGGGAGCAGACATCCTGTCGAGGCAGGGGCCCGGGCCAGGGGAATGGAGACTCCACCCATATGTGGTGTGTCAGATTTGGAGAATGTTTGGCCACGCTCAGGTGGATCTGTTTGCGACTCAGGAGACATCGCACCATCTCCTCTGGTCCTCTCTGACTCATTCAACAACTGAGGTTGTTGAGACCATCCTCCAATCCAGAGCTTCCTCAACTAGGAAACTCTATGCCCTGAAGTGGAGACTCTTCACTTCTTGGTGCGGAGACTGCCAGCTCGACCCAGTTAACTGCCCGGTTGGTTCAGTGCTGGAGTTCCTGCAGGCTCGATTCTCTGCGGGGTTGACCCACTCCACCTTGAAGGTGTACGTGGCGGCCATAGCTGCTTACCACGCCCCTCTTGGGGGTCGGTCTGTGGGAAGACACCCCCTGGTTACACGTTTCCTCCACGGTGTGCTGAGGCTAAGGCCTCCGGTACTATCTCGTGTCCCTCTGTGGGATTTGGCTGTGGTGCTAGAGGCTCTCTGCAAACCTCTATTTGAACCACTGGAGGAGGTTTCAGATCGAGTTCTGACACTTAAGACTCACTTCCTATTAGCCATTTCATCGCTTAAAAGAGTAGGAGACCTGCAGGCCCTGTCAGTGGCCAAAGCCAAAGCTTTTCTGTACCCCAGGTCGGGGTACGTCCCTAAAGTGCCCTCCTCTGTACCATGACCCGTCGTACTACAGGCCTTCTGTCCTCCTCCCTTTCGGGACCCTGACCAGCAGAAGCTTAATTGCATGGGCAGTGCGAGCACTGGACACATACGTCCACAGAGTTGCCATGTGGAGGAATCTGACCAATAATTTGTTTGCTTTGGTCCTTCCAAGAAAGGTCTGCCTGCTATTAAGCAGACCCTCAGTCGGTGGATCGTTGATGCCATCTCTATATCGTATGAGTCCTCTGGTCTCCCCTCGCCCTTGGGGGTCAAGGCTCACTCTACCCGAAGTTTGGTGGCCTCCAAGGCCTTCCTGTCGGGTGTGGCTATGCAGGATGTTTGTAACGCTGCGGGTTGGTCTACACCACTCACTTTTGTGAGGTTCTATGGCCTCGATGTTCGTACTGCTCCTGGTTCCTCCGTCCTCTTCCTCTCGTAATTGTGCTATGTAAATACACACTACGCAGGGACATGAAAGTCTGGCGGTTTGGGCATTCTCGTTCGCAATGCGTTCGACGCAGCTCAAGTTCCTGAAGGGGAACACCTCAAGGTTATGTATGTAACCCTAGTTCCCAGAGGAAATGAGACGCTGTGTCTCCTGCCATACTTCCGGCATCCCTGCGAGCGCTTCCCTCATTCTACCAGAAGCTGCTGCTGTTTCCACCGCACATGCTTTTATAGCTTCCTGGTCACTACATCAGCCCGTCCGTGACATCTCTCCCGTATATTGGACTGATTACACACGTGAATCAGAGCGTGGTCACGCTAAAAGCGTTCCCAAAGCGTTCGACATGGCGTCTCGTTTTCTTGGGGAACTAGGGTTGCATACGTAACCTTGAGGCGTTTTTACCTCGAGTTATGAAACTTTGACCCGGAGCAGGACTTAGCAGAGATTCTGTGGTGTCAAACTTGTACAGTGTGAAACGATGCAATGTTATTTCTAGATAATTGGCAACATGCAGTCGCGTGCTTTGTACAGTCACAGAAACACGCACATTGTATAAACAGTAGTGTCAGCATTTCAGGGGAAAATGGTAAATAGAGGCGGAAAACGCTTCAAATCAAGAGAAGAGCTCTTCATCCTTACCTTTATATTCCAAAACATCTGTTCTGGAAAACTTTAGAGTATAATGCTCACTGCTAGAGCCATTATGTAAACAGGTCGCGAGCTTCGTTCATCCAACGAATATGCAAATAAGAACCTTTACCCAGGGTTTAGGAATGTACACTGCAGTGTGAAACTCGAAGCAAGGCAACCCAGGATTCCGATTACCCGGGGTTTAGAATGATTAAGAGTTAACTATTTCAAGTGTGAAAAGCCCTCTATTCACCTATATTTGTCTGGCTGTGTTGAGAAGTTTCACTGTTGTTGTTGTTTTTATTTATTTATTCATGTTTGCACGTTTATTTACAGATTCAATCATTGCTCGCATTTTCAAAGTCATTGAAGAAATTATTACATTTAGACAGCCACGTAACCGCACTGATTTGGATGCAGTGAACTGCAACAAGACTTCACAGGATGCATATAATATCACAGCAGACGCTGTTCTCTTCCTCAGAGGCCTGCTGGTTACACGCCTCATGCCCTCATTTTACATCATCATCATCCTCATTAGTTTTCCCCTGAATGCTTTGGCCCTAGTGACGTTCACCTGTAAGATTCGAGAGAAGAAACCAGCTGTGATCTACATGTCTCACCTGGCATGTGTGGATGTGCTCTTTACCCTGCTGCTGCCTCTGAAGATCCACTACCACCTGAATGCTTCAGATTGGGTGTTCGGTGAGGCGGCGTGTCGTGTGCTCAGTGCAGCTTACTACTGCTACATGTACTGCTCCATACTGCTGATGATGAGCATGAGTGTGGACAGGCTGCTGGCCGTGGTGTTTCCCATCGCCTCTCTGACCTGGAGGAGCACAAGGAAAGCCACATGTGTGTGTGTGCTGGTCTGGCTGCTGGCGCTTGCTGGTACAGTACCACTTCTCTCCATAACACAAACATTCAAGATAAAGGATGTGGGCGTCACCTGCCATGACGTGCTGTATCACACACAGGTGTATGCATACCTGTTCTCCATCCTCTCCTGCCTCTACTTCTTCTTGCCTCTGATCATCACCATAGTGAGTTACTCTACCATAATATATGTGCTCACTACCAAGAATGATCACTTGGCAACATCATACCCAGACAAGCGAAGGAGAGCTGTGATTATGGCTATCGGTGTGCTGAGTGAGTTTGTAATGTGCTTTGCACCAACAAATGGCATCTTGTTGTACCACTGTGTTCGTTTAGCCACTGGAATCGTAGCTTAAAGTTGAGCCACTGATGTCACATGGACTGTTTTACCGATGTCCTTACTACGTTTCTGGACCTGGGAACATTACAGTTGCGTTGCTGTCTGTGCAGGGTCTGAGAGCTCTCAGATTCCATCAAAAATATCTTAATTTGTGTTCTGAAGATGAACGAAGGCCTTACGGGTTTGGAACGACACGAGGGTGAGTAATTAAGTACAGAATTTGCATTTTTGGGTGAACTAACCCTTTAAATATACTAACGGTCATATAAACTACAAAAATGACAAAGTTGTCCTGGCAGTCAAATAAACAAAAAATACTGAATACAGTATAAAGGCAGGTCTTTGGGCGTGTCAAGGCATTATATAATGAAATAATTTTGGAGCTTTAGGGAAGACAACAAAATAAATCATCATTCGTCTATCTCTCATTCGGAGCTGTGATGTCTGTCAATTACAGCTCGATTTCTCATTTGCGCTGTAGCAATGAATAGGAATGAATCTGGGTTCAGTCGAGGGTGGACGATCCAGTGATGTCACCATACTGTATAAATCTGAGCCTCTCCTCACAGAAAAGACTGAGCGCTCAGAGAGTGAAGAAGCAGTGTCTGTAAAGAGATTCATCTTCAGTTAGGAAGTGACCCCTGATCGGTACTCATGGGGGTCAAAACTATCTTGTTTTCCATTATACTTCTGCATGCATGCACTGCCACCTTTAACGGTAAGTACATCAGTGCGTGACAGATGTTTGGCTTTTAATTGTAGTCTTTTGATGGTGTTTAACTATGCAGATGAAACCTTGACTGTATCGTATTATGTGTGTAAGGAAGATTGTTTTATGTAAATTGCTGGTTTACATTGTATAAAAAAGAAAGATTTTTTTACTTTAAACTAGCTTCTTTTTCATATACTATGGTATCATTTTAATTTACTATGGTATTTTTTACTTTAAACTAAATTGGCTTTATTTTAATATAATATGGTATACTATTTCTTTCATAATTTACTCGCTCTCATATCTTTGCAAACATGTATGACTTTCTTCCTTTGAAAAATAAAATAAGATTTCTTTGAGAAATGTCATAAATTTTTCTCCATACAATGAAAGCCAATTGGTAGCCATAACTGTTTAATTACCAACATTCAAAATAATATCTTTAGATTTTTCATTTTTGGATGAACTATCCCTTTAAATGTCCTACCAATGACAAGTACTGCAAGCTATTTTAACTTTTTATGTAGGCTAGAAGTTCATATGAATTATTTACAATGCACTGACATCTGCAAATTAATGTAAAGTGTTGCTGTTATGTTATGCCACTTTCTGACATGATATTTTACATAAAGAACCTTCACTGCATTTACGTCACATCATATGGTAATTTCCTGTGAGCACTGGACTTTTAGCAATGCCTTCTATGAGCATGCATGTCTTAAGAGTTTATTTTTCTGTTTTTCCTTAGAATCATTAAACAATCTGCATGAAATTAACTGCTAAGAGCAGTGGTGTTCTGAAATTAGAAGACAAAGTCCTCATATATATTTTTTATTAAATGTAAACTCATGTCCCAGTCACATTTTCTTGGTTAAATAAACATTAAAAGGGTCATATATAAATCATCATTCGTCTATCTCTCATTCGGAGCTGTGATGTCTGTCAATTACAGCTCGATTTCTCATTTGCGCTGTAGCAATGAATAGGAATGAATCTGGGTTCAGTCGAGGGTGGACGATCCAGTGATGTCACCATACTGTATAAATCTGAGCCTCTCCTCACAGAAAAGACTGAGCGCTCAGAGAGTGAAGAAGCAGTGTCTGTAAAGAGATTCATCTTCAGTTAGGAAGTGACCCCTGATCGGTACTCATGGGGGTCAAAACTATCTTGTTTTCCATTATACTTCTGCATGCATGCACTGCCACCTTTAACGGTAAGTACATCAGTGCATGACAGATGTTTGGCTTTTAATTGTAGTCTTTTGATGGTGTTTAACTATGCAGATGAAACCTTGACTGTATCGTATTATGTGTGTAAGGAAGATTGTTTTATGTAAATTGCTGGTTTACATTGTATAAAAAAAGAAAGATTTTTTTACTTTAAACTAGCTTCTTTTTCATATACTATGGTATCATTTTAATTTACTATGGTATTTTTTACTTTAAACTAAATTGGCATAAAGGACCTACAATAATGTACAGTATTTTAAAAATAATGTGTTTTTTTTTACATTAAAGCATGTAAACATATTCTGTTACACCAAATACACCAAATAATGATCTTTAAAATAGCATCATATGACCCCTTTAATTACACTACCAGAATAAAAAAATCAATTTTGTATTTTTACATTAAAAATGTCATTAAAAATCCAAGTCGCGACTTCTAGCTTTGGGGTGCCTCAGGTCTCAGTTCTTGGACCACTTTTCTTCTCTGTCTACATGGCTTCACTAGGTCATTCAGAAACATGGCTTTTCATATCACTGCTATGCTGATGACACCGAACTCTACCTCTCATTCCATCCTGATGATCCGATGATAGCTGTTTGCATCTCAGCATGTCTATAAGTCATTTCTTACTGAATGAAGGACCATCACCTTCAACTCAACCTTGCCAAGACAGAACTGCTTGTGGTTTCAACAAAAGCCATCACTTCAACACAATTTCACTATCCAGTTTGGCACATCAACCATAACTCCTTCAAAAACAGCCAGAAACCTGGGAGTTGTGATTGATGATCATCTGAATTTTTCAGACCACATTGCAAAAACTGCCCAGTCCTACATATTTACTTTATACAACATTAGGAAGATCAGGTCCTTTCTTTCGGAACAGGTTACACAACTCCCTGTTCAATCTCTTGTTCTGTCCAGGCTGGACTATTGCAATGCTCTCTTAGCAGGTCTTCCAGCCAGTTCTATCAAACCTCTACAATTAATCCAGAATGCGGCTGCTAGATTAATCTCTAATGAGCCTAAAAGAATGCACGTCACACCTCGGTTCATCAGTTTGCACCGGCTACCAAAAGCTGCTTGCATAAAATTCAAGGCATTAAGGTTTAAAACCGCCACTGGCTCTGCACCCCTTTATCTTAATTCTCTACTTCAAACTTATGTGCCCTCTAGAAGCTTGTGTTCTGCAAGTGAACAGCGCATAATTGTGCCATCCCAAAGAGGCACAAAATCCCTTTCACAGACATTTACATTAACTGCTCCCTCATGGTGGAATGACCTGCCCAACTCAATCCGAGTAGCTATGTCCTTAGCCATCTTCAAGAAATGGTTAAAAACATGTCTTCCATCTTTATTTGACACTCTTAACTCTAGCACTCTCTTTATATATATATAGAGAGAGAGAGAGAGAGAGAGAGAGAGTCAAATAAAGATGGAAGACATGTTTTCATATCATAGATGATACACAGCACTTGCATATTATTGCTTTTTTTGATGGTTTTGATTGCTAATATTGTGCTAATTTGTAATTTGATTTGGATAAAAGTGTCTGCTAAATGACTAAATGTAAATGTAATTAAAATGGTATTCTATTTATTAAAACCAAGTAATAATCTCATCAATTTAGTGTTTTTAAGCATTTTACATTTATTCCAAAATAATAACAAAAGGCAGTAACAATTTTAACAATACATTTTATATATATGAACTGATGTTCAGCTGTTCTTTTTAATAATAAACTCATCAGTCTTCAGAGCATTGTAACATCGACTAACCATGTTCCATATGTTTTCGCCCTTCACCGTGTGTCAGCGACCACTCCTCCGTTGTTGAGAGCCAGACAAGCAAGTTTGTGTGATCTTTCCCTGACTGAATACCCATTGTACAGTCCACACTTTGATTGATGCCTTTTGATTGATGTCTTTCTGTCCCTCTGGCTCCTCCCTCCGGCTCCACCTTCGTCCTTTGTCGCTCCGGCTCCGCCTAGGCCCTCTGGATCCACAGTGTCACCCTGGCTCTGCGGCTGCTTGTCTCCAACCTGTGCTCCTACTCCACCGGCGTCATCTCTGTCAGTCAGCCCCCTGGTGTCGCCTGGCCAAACTCCACCATGGCTCCTCCCTCCGGTGACTCCACCGTGGCCCGCTTTCCTGACTGGACTCTGGTTCCCCACCTGACTCCTCCTGCTCCGGGTTCCTCCCTGGCTCCTTCTCCATCTACTCCACCCTGGCCCAATGAACTGTGCCCCTTTTCCATTGACTGCCCCACGACCGCCTCCTGAAAACCCACCAACCCTCCCTCCGTTGGACTATTTGTCGCCGCGAGGACGCGCCATTCTGGCAGGGGGCGAACTGTCACGGTTCTGTTCTGTTCTGGTTCCGTTTCAGTCTCCACATTTCCCTGAGTTCCCGTGTCTATTAGTTTCCATGGTTTTTGATTAATTAGCTCCACACATGTTTCAGTTCTCCCTAATTACGTTTCTGTACTTAAGTCCTGTGTTCTCCCCTGGGGCCTGATGTATAAACGTTGCGTATGCACAAAATGGGCATGGAAATGTGCGTACGCAAATTTCCACGCACATATCGGGATTTATAAAAAATAAACTAGGCGGAAATATGTGCGCACCATACGGACACTCTGTACCATACATACGCACTCTTTTACTGGAGTGAGCGAAGTAAGGAAGCAAACAGAATGATTTTAAAGTCTGTTTTACATTTGACATACACATTTAGATTAAATATGACACTCTGAATAATTAAGTTAAGCACTGAAATTGCATGCAATTATTATCCAGAAATTACACCATTTGTATATGAATTTAAACAGAAATATTTGCAATGGATGTGCTGCTTTCGAACAATTTTCCTGTGGTAGGATATGTGATTAAATGTTTTAATCACAGCAAGGATTGCTTGGCATATGACAATTCCGCTTTAAACTGTATTCTAAATAGCAAAACTCATGTTCTGAGAAAATACTTTTGCACGAATAATGATCATTGATGTGAACTTGACTTCGTCTGATGGCTTTGGAACATAGGCGGTAACGCCTGACATAAGGATGTGCTCGTT